CCCCCCCGGATGGGCCCTCCTCTGTGAGTGACAGGGGGCAGCGCCCCAACCCCGATTGGCCCTGCTCTGTGCGTGACAGGGCGTGGCGCCCCAACCTCCCCATCGACCCTGCCTTGAGTGTGACAGGGGGTGGTGCCCCAACCCCCCAATCAGCCCTACCCTGAGCGTGACTGAGGGTGGCTTCACAACCTCGCAATCGCCCTGCTCTGTGCCTGACAGGGGGCGATGCCCCAAATCCCCAATCAGCCCTGCTCTGAGCCCGACCAGGGGCTGCACCTAGGGATTGGGCCTGCCCTCTGCCACCTGGGAGCAGGCCTAAGCCAGCAGGTCATTTTAGTTTTAAGGGGAGAGAGATTATTTTTATTTTCTTGGGTCACATGTGGAAGCATTTTCATTCTTTATACACATTATTGTTCCATTGCAATGTTTCTCTCTGGTCTTGTGAGCATGACCACGTCAGCATAGAGAGAATAGGTAGTGAAATCAAGGACTCGCATAAGCACATATCAACTCTGCACAAATGCAGAGGCTAGGACTTGTAGTTCATTCATTGATAATTCCCTTGTACTTTGTTTAAACCACTAAGCCACATAAGTAACATACTCTTTATCTTCCTTTAAAGTCACCCATGTTCAGCTAGATGGAATCAAAACATTTTACTGTTGGATGGGGCCACTTCCTCTTTGTAAAGATGAGGAGACAGAGGCCTAAGAAGATTAAGCAACATATCCGTGGATAATTAGGGATTAGGATGGATATATACTGATATTGAAGCAAATGCCTCTTGCTTCTTTTCTTTTATATTAAAAAAATACAGATACTAAGACTCTTTGTACAATAATATTTTTTAAAAAACACACAATAGAAAATACATATGCCATTGAAAAAGAACTGAAGCAAAGGTGGGAAGTAAAGAATATGCCAATTCTGAGAGGTTAGAAGCAATATGTTTTAATTTCTCATGATCCAGAGAGCCTAAAACAATACTATGTTCATCATGGGCTACTTAATCAAAGCACACTTTCTAATTTACCAGTTGAATATCTACTACATGGTCATTCTCTTGATGGGCAATATATGGCTTTTTCATTTTTCAATTTCCCATAGGTTAACATGATTGACACTCAGTATAGATTTATAATAAATTGAGCAAATATTCAGTGTCATATTTTCAGAAAGCATTACTTGTATTTTTATGGTGACTTTGTATTTTCATTCTGGCATCATGTGCAATTTTGTCTGTTTGTATGTCTGTGTAAAATAACTGTTTACTCTCTCCATAGGTATACTCCGTTTCAACACCTGTGCAATTAGAAAATGAAAACTAGTCCCCAACGCCACAAGGGCTAAATGACAAATGCAGAACTACTGTGAAAGAATTTTGCTCTTCAGATTGTAATGTCATAGCACTTCAGCGAGGGAAGAAGAAATGAGAATCTGATATTCTTTATGCTTAGATATCAGAATCTGTGGTTATTCCTGGTTCCTTTTCTATTGAAAAAATAGGGTAAAATCTAACTAAAGTAACTTTGGTGCTATTCAATATTTATTAATGGGGAAAGAATATAACTGCAGCAATCTATAGTATTATGGATTGATTACTGGTTCAAATGACAGAGTCCTACAGTGAAACCCATAATTTCACATTACATTCTGTAAGAGATGATGGCAGTTCTTCACATATAATGGCATTGCTAGCCCGGAATCTTGTTACCACTCCTAGTTTGAGAGGTTCTGCTTATCCTCACTCATTCTTATTTTGAATCAGGAAGACACCCTCCCCCAAAGGTTTATTGGCCTTTATTCTTCACACATGAGATTTTGGTCAATTAGAAACTGAGTAGAACATTTAAGAGTTTAAGTAGAAAGGTAAAATTGGAATGAATCTTTAAAAAATTAAAGCAACGTGCTGTGATTTGACTTGCATTTAGCTCTTTGTAGCTATTTCTAGTCACTGACTCTATGGAAAGTAGCTTCAGAGTTACTTGCTTGTTACTGGGCAACCATTTATTCCAATTATAACTGAAATGTCCCTAGTAGACAGTTACTGGTAGATAAAAACAGATTTTAAAATATGAACTATTAAATCCATAGTATTATCTCTTGTTGTATGAGACAGAAATTATTCTAACAATTGACACTTTCTAATGTTCCAAGGTCTTTTTAGACATTTAAAGCGATCTGGGAGCATTGGTGAGGACTCAGGGGAGGAGAGCACAGTGCAGAGCTGTTAAGTGTAAAAATGACACAATTAGAATAGCTACAGAGTCTAGCAGTCAGATTTTACCAGTGTATGGAATGCCACATTCTCGATCAGATGCAAATGGCATCCAATCTTCCCACATTCACAGGAGGCTTTTTCTTCAGAAAACATTGCTAATGGACAATTGGTAACTGCATTTTTTTTATGCTCTCCCATTACATTTTTAATTATCTATTAAAAAGCAACACCTAACTATCATAGTTTATAAACACTGGAGAACAACAGAATATATCCCTTGACATTTTATGTGTTTTTAAAGGGGAGGGGGGGAGAGAGAGGGAGAAAGAGAGAGAGAGAGAGAGAGAGAGAGAGAGAGAGAGAGAGAGAGAAAGAGAGAATCTTTGTTCCCAAGGTTCATTTCTTAAATCTATTTTTATTTATTTAAGAGGAGAAGGGAGAGGGAGAGAGAGATTGAAACATCAATGCTGAGAGAGAATCATTGATCAGCTGCCTCCTACTGGGAACTGAGCCTGAAACCCAGGCATGTGCCTTGACCGGGAATCTAATTGTGACCTGGTGCATAAGTCTACATTGGCCAGGCTGTTCCTAAGATTCTTGACACAAATCCGAGCAAACTTATTGACAAGTCTAAATCTTTCCATGTGTCTACTAGCTTATGAAGCTAGAATCTGGGTAATCTCAAAAAAAGTTTGCCACATGGATATATTCTCAAATGACATGTTTGGTTTGCAAGAAAGAGAAGACTCCTGTTTTCTTCTTTATAATATTATAATGCAGTCGAAAATTCACTGACCATAGTTGCAAATTGACATCAACAAAATTTACATGCACAAAAGGAATAGATGGTAAGAGATTTAACCCGCTGAACTTTATCTCATCGTCAACAGTCATGCATTTTGAAGTGTTTCTTAAATGGCTTGATCAGCTTTAACAGTAGTAAAAATAGCTAGTTTCTGAAAATTTACACCATCTAGCTTCAGTTTCTCCTCATAACAGAACAACAGGCACGAACTCTGTCAGTACCGGTGCCAAGCAGAGTGTACAGAAATACTTGTTGGATTTAATTGGGCTGAATTAAAATTAGTCCTTTTAAAGAATAAAGTTAGTATCTCAAGTTCAAAGTCCCTAATGATCTAGGTTCTCCACAGTTGACTGTCTAATCAACTCCCGGCTTGTTCCAGATGAAAGGTATTAAAATACCTTTACTCAGCGCTCACTTTAGTCTGTTTCATTATCTGTACTCAGGAAGTCTTGGACAATACAGTGTAACTTAAAAAAAGTTCCATCATTACACTTCCTGTTTGATAAGTAAACAACAAAACAGTTACGGTCTCTCACACACCTATTAAAACCCATAACACCCCTGCAAGGAAGTAACTTGGACAACTCAAGAATTCTCCCTGACAGGTCACTGAAACGACAATCCTAAAAGATCAACAAATTGCCACAGCGTGACAATCTTAGCCCTGTTGCAACTGGGCAGCTAGTCAATTCGCAGAGAGAAGCATCATCAGGGGACACAGGAATGCTGTTATCACCCATTATAAGTATGACGCGAAGGTCACATATCAGGCAATTACACCTTTTCATTACATGCTAACCCCTCACGGCAGGGAAGCCACGCTTCTGACTGCATTAGACAGACAAAGCCTTCAGCTCTTTTAAAAAAATAAAAAGCAAAAAGCAAAAGAGAAGATTTTTAAAAATTAAATTCGTTTTCTTACCAGCACGTTGCAGCACCAACTCGCTCACAGGAATGTTGCCTTTACAGGTTTCTCTTTTAATTATCCTGGAAGCAGGGGTGGGGGGAAAGTAAAGAAGAAGAAGCAGGGTGGTTAAATTAGCGTGCTGGAATCTTTTCAGTTTGTCGCAGAGTAGAAAAATAAAAAAGGGGGAAAAAGGCTCAGTAATTTAAATTTGCTCTCAGTTCAGTCTGCATCGTTGGGTCCCGCCCCTTCTTCCTGCTGGGTTCCACTACCTGCAAGCCTGGAATTGACAGCTACTGTGCAAACAAAAAAAGGCAACAAGCATGCTGGGACCATTCTGTCTGCAGCTTGGGTCTCACTTGTCCTGAAAACTAAAAATCATCAGTGGAAAGGTATTCTACATTTTCTATTTGAAGCATCTGCATGTAATTCCCTTCCATTTTAATTGATTCACCACAGCTCGTGGTAATGGGGTCTGATTAGTGGTTGGGTGCTTTTCCTTTTGTTTTTGTCTTTTTCTAAAGCTGAATAATAATTATAGTTATTATTATTATTGTATTTTTGCTATTGTTCCCTGCTTACTGCTGTCCTTTGCATTCCTTACTGTCCTGTCCTCTCTTCCGAAACACATTCTCTCCTGACTTTTCCTTTAATTCATAAACATTGAAATTTCCAGGAATGATGGGGACGTCAATATTATCAGGGCTTTTACTTCTCCTTTGATATCTCTTTTTTGAGCATGTAGTGTTGAGAATTACTCAAGGGATAGAGGGCCTAGAAAGAAGATTCCATAATACCAGAAACTTCCCAGAAGGATCAAATATTAATGCAAATAGCCTTTGCAACCAAATCCAAAGTGTTCATTTTCATATTTTTGATTTGGAGAAAGATCTAAAAATCATATAGATAAATGTGGTCTACTTTGCCAATTTAACTTCAGGTGAGTCCAATAGAAATCCACTGTAATTTTAGCAACAAACGTAAAACTGTTCCTTAATGTGCAGCACACCATACAGCCCACCCTTCTGTCAGAATGCAAATCGCTTACCCAGAATTTACAATGAGTTTTTTTGGTTGTTTTCTAAATGTTCATTTCAGATGAGGCTGTTATAGACTACATTGGCACTGACGTTATTTCAAGCGTGCATGTAGTATGCGCTATCTATAGGTTTGCCTCCTGATCTGAAGCACTGATTCTGTAATGGTATATAGCATTGGTTCTCCTATTAAGATTTGCATTTTTGCTAGATTATTCTAATGCTTTACCATGAGTTCCATGCTGATGGATGTTTCCTGTCACTTAGTTGGGGGGTGGGGTGATTGGCGAGTAAAAGACAAAATGCACATGGTTCTTTGCAACGGAAGAAATCATGAAAGTTACTGTTATTGACACAACAGCATTTAATCTACTTTTGTTTCTTAGTTTTTATATTTTTTAAAAAATTTTCTTATCCCCACCTCAAGCCATTTAAATGAACTTCACTATTTCTGCATAACTTGTAGAACCCTGAAAATCAAGAATGGGTATGACTTAATGGACTTTAGTGAACTTTATAAATATATTTAGAATCTCCTATTTTACAGGTTAGATCAGTGGTCGGCAAACTGTGGCTTGTGAGCCACATGCGGCTCTTTGGCCCCTTGAGTGTGGCTCTTCCACAAAATACCGACTTCTGCACATGGGCCACGAAGTTTCAATCGCACTGTATGTGCGCGCCCGCACGTGGTTTTTTGTGGAAGAGCCACACTCAAGGGGCCAAAGAGCCGCATGTGGCTCGCGAACCGCAGTTTGCTGACCACTGGGTTAGATAAATGAAACAATGTGAACTTACTGTCATATGTTACATCTGATATGCTTGACCCAATTTACCTGAGAGGAGGTGAGTTACAGCAAAGTGCCTTTTGTCATATAAGGTAACATATTCATAGGATTCAGGGGTTGGGACATGAACATTGGTGAGGGGGGGGGATTTTTTTTTCTTTTTTTAATTTTTAATTTAAGTCAGATTTTTAAAAAGAGAAATGATTAATAATATAAATTAAATATACATGATTTAGTTTCATAAATGGGTAAAAAATTAACAGAGTACCAGATCTCTATATAGTCATTGAGGACTCATCATAAAATCAAACCCACTAAAAATTGAAAGAACCACTGAAGCAAATAACAAAAAGACATATTTTTCTTGTATTAAAACCTTTATCTGGATTATTTCTTTTTCTGCAACAAATGCCTTTGCTGAACTCCCACAAACAGCTGTAGGGTAGGGTAGAAATATAAGGTAGGTCAAGTACTCAAGAAGCCGTGTTAACTTCCCAGGTAGTTAGGCAATCAACTTTAATGAAGCAGTGGTAAATTACACCAACGTACTAATTATGGTACTTTGTCACAGCATAAAATGCAATAAAACCAACTCACGCCTTGACTTGGAAAGTGTGATGTGTATATTTTTCAAAGATTTAATTGAAAAGAGATTTTATTTTCCTGAAGCATTCTGTAATTTCATGTGACATTTTCTTAATAGTTTTCTTTTAAAAAAGAGGGCCAGAAAGATATGTAGAGCTGAAAATATGTAGAAGAAAAAATTATAGAGAAGAAAAAATACATAGAGCTGAAAAAAATGATAATGGTTCTTTTAAACTGGTATCTCACTTTATAGTTACAAATTATTACGACCTGGCCTGTGGAATAGGGTTATCTCGACCTGGCCTGTGGAATAGGGTTGAAACCAGCCTTCTGACATCCCCTGAGGGTTCCCAGATTGCAAGAGGGCACAGGCCAGGCCAAGGAACCCCACTGATTCACGATTGGGGCCTGGGAGGGATGTGGGAAGTTGGCCAACCAGGAAGGGACCATAGGAGGGCTCCAGGGCATGTCCAACCCATCTTGCTCAGTCCTAATCAGCTGGACCCCAATAGAAAGTTAACCTACCAGTCAAAGTGTCTGCCACCTGGTGGTCAGTGCATATCATAGCGACTGGTCAACCAGTCGATTGTCTGCCCCCTGGTGGTCAGTGCATGCCATAGTGAGCATTTAAGCAGCCTTAGCATATCATTAGCATATTATGCTTTGATTGAACGAACAGATGACTGGACGACCAGGCACTTAACATATTAGGCTTTTATTATATAGGATGTTAATATTAAATAATTTGGTATCATTGTAACATAACACTTAAATAATATTCTCTCTATATATAAAAGCCTAAGCAACCATTAGACTGAACAACCAGAATGATTGGAATTAGTGGAATGACCAGTCAACCAGTTGCTATGGTGTTCACTGACCACTAGGGGGCAGACGCTCAACAGAGGAGCTTCCCCAGATGGTACGTTTGCTCCCACAGACAATCTTCCATGGCCAGCCAACCTCCACCAGTGCCTCCCAAAAGCCGGCAAACCTCCCATGGGCCCTCCCTGTCTCTTCCCCAATCTGGCAGGCCCTGATAGGCAGAGCCCATCCAGCAGCTGGCAGGCCCCAGCCACCCTGGCCCCAATTGAGACTTGGTGTGATGGCCCCAATAGTCCCTGATCTCCGGCCAGGCCGAGGGACCCCACCCATGCACGAATGTCATGCACCGGGCTCTAGCCTACACTAATAAAAGAGAAACATGCAAATTAACCATCACTCTGCCACACCCACAAGCCACGTCCACCAGATAATCAGGAGCAAGTATGCAAATTAACCCAACTAAGATGGCAGCAGCCACGGAGCTGGAGCGAGAAAGAGGCTTGGGTTGCCCCCGGTGATGGAGGAGCTTGGGTCACCTGGGGGCATAGCCAGTCTGAAAATGACCCTCAACCCCTCACCCAGGCTGGCCAGGCACCCCAGCGGGCTCCGCTACCCTGATCCGGGACACCCTTCAGGGCAAACCAGCCGGGCCCCACCCGTGCACCAGGCCTCTATCCTATATAATAAAAGGATAATATGCAAATTGACCGTAACATCAACTGACCACCAGGGGGCAGATGCTCAATGCACTCCCGCAAGGGGAGCTCTGCTCAGCCACAAGTCAGGCTGACGGCTGCCAGCGCAGTATTGGTTGTGGGAGCCTCTCCCGCCTACTCGGCAGTGCTAAGGATATCCGACTTAAGCTTAGGCCTGCTCCCAGCTGTTAAGTGGACATCCCCTGAGGGCTCCCAGGCTGCCAGAGGGATGTCTGACTGCCAGCTTAGGCCCAATCTCCTGGGAAATGGGCCTAAGCCAGCAGGTGGACATCTCCTGAGGGGTCCCAGACTGCGAGAGGGCACAGGCTGGGCTAAGGGAGCCCCCTAGTGCACACATTTTTTGCACCGGGCCTCTAATATATAATAAAAGGATAATATGCAAATCGACTGAACAGTGGAAGAACTGGTTGCTATGACACACACTGACAACCAGGAGACAAACGCTCAATGCAGGAATTGCCCCCTGGTGGTCAGTCTGCTCTCACAGGGGGAGCACCACTCAGCCAGAAGCCCTAAGCTGGGCTCATGGCTGGCGAGCACAGTGGCAGTGGTGGGAGCCTGTCCACGGCAGCGCTAAGGATGTCTGACTGCCAGCTTAGGCCTGAGCAATCAGACATCCCCCTGGAGTGTGAGAGGGCGCAGGCCTGGCTAGGGACCCCTCCTCTGCTGAGTGCAAGAATTTCATGCACAGGTCCTCTAGTTTTAGATACTATACAAATATGCACAGAGCAGCACATGTTGGTATATATTCTGAAAATCTGTTTTATTTTATTTAAATATTTGTATTGATTTCAGAGAGGAAGAGAAATGGAGAGAGAAATAGAAACATCAGTCATGTGAGAGAATTATTGATTGGCTTTTTTCTGCAAGCCCCCCACTGGGGATCAAGCTCACAACCCAGGCATGTGCCCTGACCAGGAATCAAACTGTGACTTCCTGGTTAATAGGTTGATGGTCAACAACTGGGCCACAACAGCTGGGCTGAAAATATCTATTTTAAATGAAGAAGAAAAAATATTTTTATGGTTCTCATTGCTAATTACAATTAGCAGAATATTAGTCTTAATCAAATAAAAAGTCCTGACACTGAATTTTAGAGAAGGAATAGTCTTTAGTAAATGTTTGTGCTCAGAGAAACTTAACATCAGCGGGGGTAATGCTAGTTGATTTTTTTTAAGTATAATACATTTTACCTTTTGTGTTATAATTGACAATGAAATATTTCTCAAACTTATTGAATATTTTTAAATTATTTTTTTTGCTTTTTGGTAAATGTCTCCCTCATTCTAAATCAACTGTGTTCAGTGTGATTTTA